TGTTTGTCATTGGTGCTCAGGATCTGCAAATCATTCGCCATCGTCCTATCAGACATTTATACTTACTCTGTGTATGTGGTAAGTGATGTAGCCTACTGTAATGCAACAGGCTACCGCTAGCAAGCGGTAGTGGCTTTAGTGGCTTTGTACAACGTGTTATTTGTTTCACGCTTCGGGCACACCCCTAACCCCGCCCCTCGTCCATCAAGGAAACACAGAAGCTGCGTCTGAAGTGGCATTTAGATGTATTTACACATTGTTTAATGCAGCTCAGAGGAACATGGGATACTTTAACCTAACCTGCAAATGCATGAATAATGTTTTGATATTTTAAACATAAAACATTGAAAACTGAAGTTTGAAATTATTTAAAAAAAAACTTAAAATACTTTAAATGTGAAATTAAAACCGCCAGTAGGTGGCAGCAAGTCACTGTTAATAAGTGAGTCATTGCGATTGAACCGAATCATTTAAACGCTTGATTCATTCAGGAAGGAAACGCCATCATGTTGCTCAGAGACGCAAAACAGTGCTGCTTTTTGTTGGCGAAATAGAGCAAAAGCAGGAAATACGTTGTCTAAAATGTAAGTCTCTTAACTTCTTGTTTATTGAACTGTTGTATAAAATCAATATCACATTTGTAATCATGTAGACGCACTAGTTTAACCTATATTAACTGACTTCATCACCTAATGTATGTGTGCAGACTGTGCACTCTTTAGGTGTGTTTTGTTTGCTTTTTGCGATGTACTCGATAATGTTGAATCGCAAATTGTTAAAACAACAATTACGATATTATTGCAGACCATGTATATCGCACACCCTACTGTTTAGATTTTTATAATGCATTGTCTTTTTATCGATCCACCAGTTCATATTTAAAGCTCTGCGTGTTTGCAGGGTAAAAACATGGGCCGATTTATGCATTGGTCTGAACTTCGAACAAAACAACAGGCTTTTTGAAAATGCTCATTCTCTGCCAGCAGGTGGAGCGTTTGGTAGAAATATCACTGTTTCCTTGGTAACGGCAGAACACAGAGCAGCCCCGGACTTTGAACGTGCAGCACTCATGTTTATTTAATGAAATCGTAGCCTTTTTTTAAGTTTAATCGTCACATTCAGCCATATCGCAATTCTGGTCTTTCCATACCCAAATTTAAGACCTCTTGAAATCTTAATTAAGACTTTATTGTACAATTTAAGACTTTTTAAGGCCTTAAATTTGATACAACTAAATTTAAAACTTTTTAAGACCCCGCGGAAACCCTGTCACACACACACACACACATAAAAGGATGCACTGGCTTTTCTCCTTCTAAACATATCATATTATATTCAAGATCAGAGAACTGCTTGAGCATGCTGGGATACAACATAAGAAACAAGTCTGTGTGCTGCTAACTGCAGTGAGATTTTATGTTCTCACCACAAACAGTTGCACTGCAGGCTGTTTGTGAGCATTGGAGTTGCTCTTCTTGGCTTTGACGATGACCTTCATTTCTTCATCAGACAATCGAGCCTCATCATCATCCTCATACTTCTTCCTCTTGACCTTCCGGTTCGAACGCCGCTTCTGTAGACACACACACACACACACAAACAAAATTGAGTGTGCTCATCAAGGCTGCATTTATTTGATCAAACAGATACTGATATATTATGGAATGTTATTACAATTTAAAATAACTGTTTTTTTATTATGTTTTTTTTTTTAATGTAATTTATTTCTGTTATGGTATTTTCAGCAGCCATTACTCCAGTTTTCAGTGTCGTATAGTAGAAATCATTCTAATATAACATTTGGTGCTCAAGAAACATGTCCTATTATTATCAATGTTGAGAACAGTTGTGCTACAGTTGAATTTTTGAAGTTAATTCAAATATATATATATATATATATATAATGCAAAGCAATGGACTGTAATGCATAGAGGAATGAAAATATGGAATGATTTGCCATCGGATATTACATATTTTTTAATATGTAAAATGAGGTTTAAAAAAATCTTTAAAGAACCCCTGCGCATGCACAATTTTATTTTTCACTTAGCGAATCAGAGATGCCCATCAGGGGGCCTTTAATAAATTAGTACAGCAGAGAGAAAGAGAGAGAGAGAGAATGAGTGTGTGTCTGTCCTCCCAAATATAACATGACCTAAATGTGTATGAGTTAAAGTAAATGGAGAGGATGAGAATATCTCAGGATGACCAAATAAAGACCCACCCGCCCTGCCACGAGACCCCAGCGTTTCCCAGAATGCACATGGCTGTGGCTTTAACTCTGACATCCTAACTGAGTCATCAAAAGAACACTGCTTTAATTAACACAGGGGTATTTAAAGAGGATAATTATATCTAGAAGGGTGGAGAGGGTATATCATGAATGGGGGAATGAGAGGTTAGTCATTTAAGAAGAAAGAGATGGAATTCATTTGAGGGTACGGCAGTCATCTCAGTCTCTCTAGCTCTTGTACTGAACATACACATGCCGCAGGAAGCACCACTATGCAGATTAAAGAATGGCCAGGAATATGTTTTGTGCCACCAGCTCCAGAAATGACCACTTACAAATACTTTTCTTGCTAGATGTTTATATAAGACTATAAGACAGCATGAAAGACAAAGCTCACCGAATCATCATCTTTAGAAGATCGTCGAGTTGGTCTGTCATTGTCAGACAGCTCTTCAGAGGAATCTGTCTTCTTTCGCTTCTTCTTTCCAAGCTTTATAACGATTTTCCTGTAAAAGAGGAGAACACACAGAGAGACTTATTTTAACACCAAAACCCACTGGAATTCAATCAGAAGAAACGTCTCGGTTACGTATGGTAACCCTCGTTCCCTGAAGGAACGCTGTGATCAGCGGCAGCTGGATGCAATAATCGCATGCCAATGTGCATTGGCTCGTTTAGTTTACACTCGAAGTAGATTGGTCTCTCTAAGCGAGATCCCAATTTCATCGGTCATCCGACGTGACGTCGAGAGTGACCGACTGAAAGGGAACCTGTATTACTCAAAATATTTGATGGAAACACACAAAATGGCTGCTTTGTTGATTTCAATGCCTCTGCATTTATTTTGAAACCTGAGTATGTTTCTAAGACGCTTTTTCATATGGTCACAAATAAAACAGACACCACACATAAAAACTGGCACAATCACCAAAACTGAAACCCGAAATAAAAATAAAAGCTATGTAGATAATATATTTATATATATATAATACTGTATATTATAATATATATATATATATATATACATATAATATAATATATAATGTTATATAATATATTGTATTATATATAATATTATAAAAAAATTATATTATATAAAATAATAATATTACCAAACAAAATGAAAATATAAAAATAAAAGCTAATTTAAATATTAATAAACACAATAATATTAGTATATAAATAATATTAAACAATAAAGTGTTTAGTATAAATAATACTAAACACTAGTTTCTCTTAACTCCATTGTAAATGTCATTTAATGAAGCCAAACCTTCAGCACACATGAAAACGTTCAGTGCAAACATTAAACAGTCAAATGATTACACAGAATTCCATCTTTCATGCTGGACACTAAAAACAGTCACACTTTTGCAATTTCTCCGCAGTGCTGGGCACACAGTTCTGATGAACAGGAAATGATTCTCAGGACATCAGCTGTGTGCATCACTCTCGCTCTCATTCTGGGTCCTCCTCTCTGGATGATGTTACACTTCGCTAGTTTCCGGGACAACATGACTTTCTGGTTGCCTAGCGACCTGATCAGAGTGAAGCTGGCGGTGTGGGTGGAAGCAGTAATGTTGTATCCTGTGAGTGACACATAAGCTCCACTCAGCAGCTGTGAAATGAGACTGAGAGCTGGTCTTCACTGCACTGTGTGTGTGGACTGAGCTAACCTGTGAAAGCATGTGAAGTAAGCCAGTTTAACACCCTAAACATCTTTCTTTTGCTCTCCTCTGTCGAGGGACCCAACAATACACACACGCCTGCACATACAGGGTCCAGAATCAACCACAAACGCTCTACTATTTTATAAAATAAATATGATAACATAGAAAAGATAGAAAAATAAAAGAAAGACAGACAGGTAGATTTTCTATAAGACAAAGCAATTATTAGCCGTTTCTTGTATGATGAATCAAATACTAGTCATGAGAAAATATTGATTTTGTCCCTCACATTTTCATGTTGGCGAATCAAGAACAAAAAAATTTATTGTCACATGAAGCTCTAGAGCAGGGTTGGGCACCCCTGCTCTAGAGCAGTGGTTCCCAACCCTGGTCTTCGAATTGCTGAAAAAGGCACCAGTCAACAGGCCAATATGGCCGACATTTTATTTAACCTGTTTTGAAGAGAGAAAAAAAAAAAGAATAAGGGGAAAAACAGTTTAAATGTTAAATTTGCACTTTATGCTAATTGGAGTACACTCATTGATTTGATCATTTGTTTGATTTGATTGATCATTTCACATTATTAAACGTATCAAAATGCTTTACCAAAACCAACAACACAAATCCCAGCTGGCCAACGTTTAGTTAGTGACTCTTAAAGGAACTTATTAGGATTTAAATCAACTATCATTTTAATGGTTGTACTTTGTCACAAACTTAAGTTTTCTGAAAATATCTTTGTAACAGCTCAAAGTCAACTCACCAACAAACAAAAACATCAAAACACATACAACATATGACGAAAGGTAAATATAATAATTTTTCTTATTCACTGTAGTTGCCACTGTTGTTTGACAACTGGGTGGTTTGGTAAGTCATGGACATTTTAGAGTGTGTATGTGTGTGTATGTGTTTCTCTTATTTTTTTTAAAGATGCATCAGTATTTAAAGGCTATATGAATCAGAGCCAAACACATATAAATGCATGCTCACATGCTCGATGGATGACAGTGGAAGGTCTTCGGTGGCAGACGCAGAAGGCTGCGTTAATATTTCAGGGTTGTAACCTAGGTTACATATATGCACATTTAAAGGCTATATGAATCAGAGCCAAACACATATAAATGCATGCTCACATGCTCGATGGATGACAGTGGAAGGTCTTCGGTGGCAGACGCAGAAGGCTGCGTTAATATTTCAGGGTTGTAACCTAGGTTAGGGTAAGACACTCAGTCTTTCTCAGTCTTTTCCCTAAAAGCTCCTCCAAACACATGGTTGCACAAACATACACAAAAAATGAGTTTAAATTCAGCCCTGCGATGAAAAATACACCATATATTCATTTTAAAAATCTTTTTCATCTCTTTCTTTCAATATAATGTCTACAGTATATAAACATCCAGTATCCATTCTTCTTCATCACACACTCAGCACCTCACGTCATGACACAACACGTATCATACATGTATCACAACTGGATTTAAACGGTGCTAAACATGTGAGAGAGAAACTCAGTATGTCAGGGAGAGAGTGAATTTGTGGTGTCAAGTTTCAATCCGTCTTGGTTCCGCATGGTTCACTTCACTTTTGCCCAGCACTGCGTATCTGACCGCACTAAGAAATGCAAGTTTGCACTTTTAACAACCTGATTCTTCTGTAATCGAATGAACGAACACATGAATAAATAAAAAATATCAATAGAAGTACTGATGCAATAGCATGAGGGGGAGAATTCTGATACATGACTATATCGACACAGCCATAACGTGCCTGGCAGACTGTACTGTTATAAATATGTGTGTGTGTGTGTGTGTGTGTGTGTGTGAATGACTGCAGTCTCTCTCTCTCTCTCTGAGATCACATGGTCTGCTTTAATGGCAGCTGTTGGCTGTAGTGTGCCGTTTGGTGCAAAGCGGGTCAGTAGGTTTCTGGCTTTGCTCTGCACCGCAGGCTCAAAGACACCAACCCTGCTATTTATGAAAGCAAGATCTAAGAGACACCTCTGCCTCCATGTCTCCACAGTGATTGAAAATCAATATCCAGCGCCCAGTCACCACAAATCTCTTCAGTTAAGAAAACCTATAGTTAGTAACAGGTAAGGTTATCCTCGATAAGGAATTTCCTAACTTAAGGAGGTTTGTTGCAACTGTCTGCAGTTTTTCAAAAAGGTTGCTGTTTGTGAGCCTGACTTCTTGAGTGCATCACATACTCAATATACTCACGTTTGTTTAGTTTTGCTACCTTGACTACAACCTCAAACCATTCACATTAAATGTGATTTGATTGACATTTTAAAATTTTGTGAGGCAGCAGTCAAGCAAACAGCTCACTGCAGATTTTCAATGGCCCAAATTACACACCTGATGTGGACTTGTGGCCTTCATTTGTATGTTCAAGAAGTGCAAGAAACCATAGAATGTTCCATTGTCATTTCATGATTCAGAAGTTTTTTTTTTAGAGGTGCCCCCATTCTTAATGCAGCCAATTGTGACGTCAGAACTGATGCGATCTCTGCAGCATTCTACCACACCACAAGTTTGTTTTTGATCTGTTTTCATGTTCTAAGTTAAACTTCTAGGGCCGGTTGCACCAGCTGGACGTACACCCGGTTGTAAAACTAGGCTGGACGTAAAATGCGCTTTAAGTCGGGCGTAGAATTAATACTTGTTGCACCATCTAGGCGTAGTGCTACGTCTGAGACTAAATCTTATGCCTAGTCAAAGGTAGGTGTAAAGTGAAAAGTCATGATTTGCTCAGAAATTATTAGGTTTTAGGATTCATGTCTGTAAATTAATTATTACTGCAGACGTGAACTGTAATGTTCTAACTATAGAGAGAAGCGTTGTATTACATTCATTATATTTTACTTAACCTGTCGCCTTAATTTTTAATGTTTGTTTGAAGAAATCTGTCATGAGAATGTGCAGAGAGACTTCAGATAAAAAAGGCGGACTTGAAATGTTGACTGACATTTCAATCATGGCGCGGTGGCTTCCCTTGTTATGATGTATTGGGTGATTCAGTTCTTTATTATATGTAGTTGTAGCCATTGCAGCGTGAATGTCGTCTCAGCTATCACTGCGGGAGAATGTGTTGGCGTGGACGTGCATCATCTACACCGGGCGTAGTTGTGCCTGGTCGTAGTTTTAGTTGGTGCAACAGGTGTAAATATTTATCACAAAGCTGGACGTTGCAAAGCCCAGCGTAGGGCTTACACCCAACTTTTTTACGTCCAACTGGTGCAACTGGCCCCTAGTCTGTTAATTAGTTCTGTTTTCCTCTGTTCCCTGCCTGTCTGTTTCTATGGTTACTGATTTGATTAGGTTCCTCAGGTGTGGTTAGTTAGGTTCTCCCTTTGTTTGTCCTGTCTATTTAAGCCCTGAGGTTCTTTCAGTTCATGGTCAGTTCTACGTCGTGTTAAGTTGGTTGTTTTGCTCCTGTTCTGGAGTTTTGTTAATTTCTGAATAAAGACTGCTGCAGACGGATCCTGTTTCCTCTTTGCTGCAATCACATATACGGTTGTTGTGATTGACCGTTATTAGAAATATGACCGTTTGCTATGGGAGAATACTATACCAGAAGCTCACGTAGTACTGATTTTAGCAGAAATACGCAGGCAGAGTCCATTAAATATCATTATTTTTAGTATTTTATTAATTGTATAAAATTTTGCACTAATGTATGATATTTATAATTGGTAAACATCTTTTTCCTTAATCCAATTTTCCACAAATATTTGTATTTAATATTTTTTCTTGATGAGGTTTTGCCATCATTAAAGATGAATGCTGTCACACTGAACCTTTATCTTTATTTAAAGAGATTTAGAATTTTTTTTATAAAATGTAAAAAAAAAAAAAAAAAGGACTTAACACTTTCCAGTCCAATGCCGTAGCATGCAAACGTACTTATTTTTACTTTAAAAGCAATGTTCAGTCTTACAGCACAGAAGCATTGTGCATCCAAAAATAATATAAATAATTTTGCAAGCTATGACCTTGCTGACTAGTGCCTGGCTTACGTAGCCAATCATCCAGCATTTGGGACAGGGTCTATACATCTTCCTGATCACCCATACTTACACTAACACTTGTTGTTCCCAACACTGCTGAACATCACTGGGATTCATTTAACCGCGGACTTGCGTATGGTCATGACACCACTAGCTACAACATAACACTCAACCGTTAATAAATACCAGCCTCTTTTAGCAGACCGGCAACACCGTAGGACATTAGAATGTAATCAGAGTAATGCTAGGTGACAAGATCCTGTTGACAACACTTACACAGCAAAACACGCTCAATAAAAGCTTGCCAAACCAGACAGGTAACTTGCAATACTTTACAAGGAGAAGGAGACCACTTAGCCTATTACCAGGTCAATATGCAAACATGTCCCTTTCATTCTGGAGTATCTGCAAACCAGCATTTAAAAGCCGTAAAAGCTGCTTCCTTCTGCTAGATGTGGTAAAAACCACAATCTATACAACAGAGGTGAATGAGCCAAGAAACTGTGTTAAACAAGAAAAGAAATCATCCAGTGAGGCGTTGAGTCTGAATATACACGTCCTGTTTGTCTTGCCTTTACTGCTAAAGTATTTGGGTCAGTCAGACTGCTAATCCATCAAGCACGATGAACAAGTCACCGAAGAAATTCAACACACTGCTTTTACAAGCACAGCGGGAATGTTAAACATTTTCATGCCAGCTTCGTAATCTCACCAACAGACCATAAGAGAGCACGCAGCCTTTTTAAGAACAAAGCAGCATCTAGATTGAACTGTAGAGCTGGAGACAATATTTGGTGGCACAAAGTTTGCAGAGGCCTTCACATGATGCACATAACTTAGAAATCTCATGTCACGTTCTTTCATTCAGTCCTCCATTAATGCAGATAAGATGACATCATGATGTCATAAAGCTCTGCATGTTTGGTTCAGACTTATGATCTATTCACCTTCACCAGAACTGGCTGTCTGTGTGAGCACTTGCTGTGTTACATGGGAGGTACATGTAACATTTGGTAAAGGAATCATTAACCACAACAAAAATGGGAGAACACCAGATTACTGTATGTTTATCGTTTGTTTGTTCCTTTGCCATGTTTGTGGGTTACAAAAAAGGCTGATAATTTTTCAATCAACTTTCAGATCAGGGATTTTCAAACTGGGGACCAGAGAACCCCAGAAGGCCTAAAAGGGGTACCAGAGGTCCACTGAAATTTTCAGAGTTTCAGAAATTTTCAGGGAAATTTTTTTTTAGTGAAAATAATAATTTTCAATTACCGTATTGGCCCGAATATAAGACGACCCTGATTATAAGACGACCCCCCCTTTTTCCAGATGTACCTTTTGGAAAAAGGCTTTTTAAAAACCAAATCTTGTTTTTTCTCAGTAAAACACATTTTGTCTTCAATTATTTTCATATTGCATATTTTTCCTATTTTAATTTTTGTTTTGAAAGTATGGTAAAAACTGGTCAAATGTACCAACAATCACATTTAAAAAATATAAATTTTTTGATATACCATTAAAAAAAAAAAAAAACGGTAGTCCATCTGAATTAGGACATTTAGGCTATCCATCTAATAGTAGCCTACCAAAATCTTATTAACAGTAGAAGTTAAATCTTACTGTAGTCTTCAAATCTGGGTACTGTCTTACGTTTTAAAATCACAAAGGGAGTTTGGTCCCATCAGGCTAACGTGACAGTCACGACTCATGCAGCTGTAAGGTTTTCTTTCTCTTTTGTTTTTACTCGCGATATTTACAACACGCATTACATTACGTATTTCATGGCACACTCGTTTTATGCGTATTTGGCGCCACCTATTGTTGTGGGTGTATTATTGACATGTCAAAGTCTAGACCCTGAATATAAGACGACCGCGTTTTTTCAGATGTATTTCCAAGAAAAAAATATCGTCTTATATTCGGGACAATACGGTAATACATTTCAGATAATGAAAAAAACAAAACACTTTTTTTTTAAACATGACAATAACAACTTATTGTTACTCAAAATGACAGTAAGTACTCAAATCTCCAACATTTCTAGAAAAAACTGCAAGAGCAGCGTTTCTCATATCCGCAAACAGTGTGGGGTTATTAAAAGGAGTCCTTGGTTCAAAAAGGTTTGCTAGAAAGTTCTGTAACTGGTTAAAAAGTAAACACTCCCTTCATGCTCTGAACACACTTCCAGATCCAAAGACCTTCTAACAGCTGAGGACAGAATCATCAGCATGTTATTGAAAGAAAATGTATCTGAAAATATCTAAAGAAATGCTGACACCTCTGTTAGACTAAAATATTTCCTGAACGGAGTTAGAGTATTACAGAGCATTTTGCTGTGCTTGCCATCTTTGTAGTGTGGCTGTATTAGATCAAAAGGGTGCTTCTACTAAATACTGAGCATTTTTCAGTTTTTCTTTTTTAATAAATCTGCAAAGATGTCAACAATTCTGTGTTTTTCTGTCAATATGGGGTGCTGTGTGTTACATTAATGAGGAAAAAAATTAACTTAAATGATTTTAGCAAATGGCTGCAATATAACAAAGAGTGAAAAATTTAAGGGGGTCTGAATACTTTCCGTACCCACTGTATATATATACTGTATAATAAAAATAAAAAAGTTTTTGTTTTTTTTTACATGTCAGAGACCATTTCTGGCAAAAGTTGCACTCAGGGAAACCTGATAGGAAACACTTAATATGCACATAAACTCTCAACATTTGCATACAAGTTTATGCAATAGCCTGATGTGAATTTGCTCTAGTTTCACATAGGTCAAAATGTGCATTAAGGAAAAAGAAATGGCTGACACAATTTTTTGCATTGAAATACATTCTCAATACATTTTGACTCTTCATATTTAAAAGTTTAGGCGTTTCTGCTTTAGTTGAATGTTCACAGATGCTCTTAAAAATGAAACTTCATGCCTAACAATGGCCTTTATTCTTGACTGTATTCACAAAACTGCACAGCCTCTCATTCCTGATTGCTTAATTAAATGCTGTTAGCTTTAAGTGGCAGTTTAACATGACAGTCAATGCTCCTCAGACTCTGCATCTCTACGAGAACTCAACTCTCATCTGATTTATACTTAACACACAAACACAGGTTAAGACCACATCTGTAAGCAGTAAGACCTATTTAACTTACAGTGATTAGCTGCATGGCTAACAACATGCAGGTGAAGTTATAGAGATGTACTTGGATGAATAGAAGTCATCACAGATCAGGACAGAAACAGCTGTACAGCTGTACTCCCGCTCCCAGACCAAAAAAACAAACTTATAGAATGGCACTCATCCTTCAGCTTGGGGAGAATGTTACAGCGGTCTTACCCAATTTGAGCCTTTTGCTTGGGCTTGAATGACGTCACAATCCGGGCCTTCTTGGAGCTTTTATCCTTGCCTCTGGACTTGGAAGAACCGGCCTTGTGACTGCGGTGCTGCGACGACGAAGACGGGAAGCTGTCGGGATTCATGATGCATGGAATATTTTTCTCTCCCCTCTCTCGTGCTTTGGCGATGGCCTCAGAGATGATTTGATTGGCCTTCTGTTGTTTATCGTCGGATAGGGGCGACTCCATCTGCTGTTGCTGCTGCTGTCGCTTCTGCACCCGCTTCTCTGACACGGATATGTATGAGGATGATGAAGAGGAAGAAGAGGAGCTGCTCTTTACTGGTGGGCTGAGTACCCGCAGCTGGCTGTTGGAACCATTAGTGTTCTTAGGAGGCTGTGAGAAAAGAGAAAAAGAAAGATATTACCACCCAAACAAGATATCAATGTTCTCCATAGGACTGGCTTCATCTAGAATTGTTGTGTAGGCAGGACTGTACAGGACGCCCATAGATAGGCTTCTATTTCAGGATCCCGTAATTCCATATGCTAAACCCATGATGAACAAAACACTATTAAGATACCATGACGCCATGTAGACTAGTCTGACGGTCAATGTTAGAGCGCTATTGGACAAGAAACAGAACGCTGAGCTGAATTCAACAGCCATAACATTACTCTTCTAGTCATGACCTAGAAAACTTGGACTCAAGCTGATGTAAATACTTTAATAGGTTTCTTATTAAGGGGGACAAAGTCAGTACAGTGAAACAGCTACTCTGCACATAAGATTACAAAGGTTCTGTAAGCAATTTAAGATGTTTTGCTAACTTTTCCACCGTTTTGCTAACTTCAAGCACAAGAACCCCACTCTAAAACACCTCCAAAGAGATGCCAACAAACCAGAATGTGCAAATTCATTCACAGGCGGTGTATGAAATTAACAGCCGCCACCAGCAAAATGCTGCTAGTTTTACACACAATGGCGACTAATTTTGCTCATCTACGGTGGTTCGCTTATAATGTGCATTGCAAAAGCAAAGCTGATGTCTGATTTAAAAAAAACTGTGCCTAATATTTGTTATTATCATTAGTCAACCTAAACTGGGCTCAAAAAAAAAAAAAGACAACAGTGTAAATGGATAGATTTTAAAGCAGATGATGTAATGACAATGCAGAAAAAGTGTAAAATCTGTCTCTACTTGCATTATGCAAGTAGAGACAGATTTTACACTTTTTCTGCATTGTGATGCACATCCGAGTGAAACAATTTCGAGGGGGGGGGTTTAGGGCAAGGACTTGGTTTTATTAATCGGTATTGTTGATTGGATGCAGCAACACAAGCTTGCACTTGATTGTAAAAAAGGGTCTGTGTTTAGGCAGACTAAATGGTCCGAGAAGTTCATCATGCATCAACAGAGAGAAGTCTGTCTTTTCACCAGAAGATCCAGTTTAAAAAAATAAAATTAAAAATGTATGCATAGACGAATGGTTAATATAAGATCACTACATTCATTGAGAAAATAGATGAATTTCCATTTCATGCTGATTTTAATTAAAGTGGAACAAAAGAGCCCATGGACTGTGTTCGTGCAAAAATAAATGCTTTCTGGCCACTTAAAGTGGTCTCTGTACATTTTTTCCAGATCACAGTCAGTTATATCATATATTAGAAATGGGGAAAAAAACTGAGTGGCAGGTTAAATTGGAATTTTGCCAACCATTGTGCCTGGTGGGCAAAAAATTTATTTCATACTTTATTGAAAGGCAAAGAACATTTCTAATTGGCTCGTATACTGATTGCCTAAAACATCTTACTCCTCTGATTCT